TACGGCGCGACTATACAAAATCTGCTAACATACGGAATAACTTGTTGGCAAGGCAACGCCTCATCTAAACTGTTGCGACGTCTAGAAAACATCATTAAAAAAGCATCAAAAATTACACTCACAACATTGCCACATTTAAAGGAACTTTTTGAACAAACGTGCCTAAGAAAAATCGAAAATATCTTGGAAGACAACGGCCACCCGCTCCATTAGAAGTACGTCAGGTCGTCGCGAAGTGGGCGACTGCTGTCAATCAAAACAAGAACGGAGCGGTACAAAAACTCGTTCGTACCTCACTGGGTCAGACTCTATCACTGCCACTCATTGGTCAGGGAACATGAAATGCACCAAGATACCTGTGTGTAGTCGCTGAATGAACTCTTTATGTTGTCTGTTGTATTTATGTATATTTTTCTGTTGTGTTGTCTTTATATGAGAAAAGAGTCCTTGTAAACACAACCAATTTCCGTAAGGATCAATAAACCAGTCTTAGTCTTAGTCTCTTAGTCATAGCACAATGACCAACAACTTTACTTTCCCCCAACTAATATCAACTACCCATTAGAGCTGGGTGGACTCAGAGGCGTCACAAAGATCCCGAAATAAAAAATCCTAGCCTTCACCCAGGACTCGAACCCGGGTTCAGAAGCCAAGCGCTTTACCGCTCAGAGAGAACTAAAAAAAATAAAAAATACTTTTAAAAAAAAAGCAAAGCTTATAGGAAATGTAATTGTATCATTAAGTTTCTATCAGTCATGAAATTACATTTTTAATAGATCTAGACCAACAACAATACATCTGTGCGATTAGAAATATTTTTACCAATTGTTTTTTGGTTAGCTCTATTTCATGATTTTAACTTTCTAAATATGTTTATAACAATAAATAAAACTATATCTCGCCTGTTTACTCTATCTAGACTTGAGTTTCAAAGGTCTACATTCAATGACGACTATTTCAAAACTTACGCCACATTCCTTTTTCCTCTTAAGCCCGCCTCTTCTGCCAGTCAGAACCAAATGACCTTGACATTTTGCAAGACCAACTAATGAAAACACCTGGCCTGTCTCGGATATCTTCATAAAACTGAACGTTCAGCTAAACTATTCACTCGTCGCCCCGCCCCGTTGATCATCAATGGACCGAATTCAGAATGACCAGTCACAATCAACAGAAACTATTAGATCTATTCTGTAAACCTGACTGCCTGAAACATACATAGTGCCCTCTGTTACTTACACACTAAGACATGATTAAAACATAACCCCAGAATGACTTTGCCGCACAGATCATGAAACTACACGAAAAAAAAAAAGAAATTGAGCTGAATTGGTTGTAAACATGGCTGCCTGGTCGTGCGGTTTGCACGCTGGACAGTCGTTTGGATTTATCAATGGTCCCGGGTTCAAACCCTGCCCGCTCCCATCCCCCGTCGTCCTGCGGGAGGTTTGGACTAGGAAGTAAACTATCTTCAACTCTGAAGGAACATCCGAAACATGTAAAACATTAAACAAACATGCTTTCTTTTATTTTAACCGTTTCTGCTATTGCCATCATTTGCAAAGCCCTGGATGTCTCAAGTCTAAATATCTGGTTCATAAACTAGTTTCAAAATAATGTAAGTAACAACAGAAAGGTCACAATGTTTAAAACAGGCCCTACTAAATCAAATCTAGTTAAAAGTCATAATCATAACCAATTTTTTTTTTTGTTTGGTAATTATTGAAAGACATGGTAGGGTCACAAAAATTAACCTTAAGTCGTTAATTTAACAATTACATATGATAAGGCAGTGTCTTCAATTTTGAAGGTTAAAGAATGAGTGGGTTTTTTTTTTTTACAAAATTACTAAGTTACGATCATATTTTGCTGTTGTCCTCCGAGTGTCTATTTGCGTGTTCTTTTCGTCTATGACAAAGGCTGTTCTTAGGGTTAGGGATTATCTTATCTTATCTTATATAATACAGACGTTACTTCAAAAAAGAAGATGATTACATCCTACGCGTCATGCATTTAGTCATGCATATTAACCAATGACTTAAATTCTGCCAAGTCATTGGTTTCCCTGGCTAGCTCAGGCAACCCATTCCATGCTCTAATAGCACTAGGGAAGAAGGAGTATTTGTACAAATTTGTCCTAGCATATGGGACGTGGAATGTGCCTTTATCTTTGTGTCTTTCAGTCTTATTAAATTTTGTTTTTGTATTTGAAGATTATGGTTCAGTGTTTTATGTATAGTTGCTACTTTAGTTTTGAGTCTTCTGTCCTGAAGGCTTTCTAAATTTTGTGATTTTACTAAAGGTGTTACTCTGGTAGAGTGTGAATATTCGTCTGTTATGAAGCTCACTGCTTTATTTTGTGTTTGTTCCAGTTTCTTAATGATTAGAATTGTCGAGTGTTGGTATATTCGTGCGAGCTCTCCAGGTGTCTATCAGAAGCCATCTCTGTTTTCTCTATGCCAGTGAGTGCAAATTGATGAATGATTTTTATCTATCAAGCGCTTCGGAAGGTAAAGTAAAAGTAGAGTTCCCATTTCATTCTTAGCTATCTATAGGGTAGATGATATTGAGATCATCTGTTTCTTTGGACAAAAGTTAACGAGCAGGATGTAGTGTGGCCAGCACAAGGAACAATCGCCTTGACTTTCCCCCAACTAATGTCGGGTACCCGTTACAGTTGGCTGGACTCAGGGGCGACCTAATAATGCCAAAATTTTAAATCCCAGACTTCACCGAGATTCGAACCCAGGACCACGTGATAGGATGCCAAGCGCTTAACCACTCAGCAACCGCGTCCCCGATTCGGAAGGGCACCTCTGTTTCTGTTAAAATCCATATGCGTCAATCACTAATGATTAACTTTTTTTTTTTTACAATTTCTCTTTTCAGTTTGTAAGTTCTTCAGAGGTTAAAATAATAAAAAGCAAGACCTGAGTAGATGGACACGGTTCATATTTTTTTTTGAAGTAACGTCTGTATTATATAAGAAAAACGGCTCTAACGTATTTGACTAATGAACTATATCTTTAGGGAAAAAAACTGACAAGCTTATTCGCCACAGCTTACATTGTTCATTGTGACACATCTTTAGAGACACATTTTACATTGTGAAAAATCTTTAGAGATACGTTACACATTGCGACACATCTTAAATATTTGTATATATTTTTTTTGATAGATCTTCCGGTGTGATACGTCTTACTCTAATATTGAAATGTTTGTGCATAAACTGTTATGATTATAAACAATTAAATTAATTCGGAAACATTTTACTAATTCTCTTGATGTATACTAACATTCACTTTTCATGGCTTTTATATAGCGCTACTTTCATGCTTATAGCATGCTCAGAGCGCTATGGTCCAATCTCGTTTGTTGACCAGTGAAGGAGAGGGGGTATCTGGGAAAAGCTTTTCCGTGCTGCCTTTAGGCGCACAGTAAACACAACTCGAGTCAGGTGTTGAACCTCGAGTCCCCTTCATAGGTGGTGAAGCCAAATGAATCATGCGTACTTAGCCTGTCGACCACGCTTCCACATGTACTTACATACATACATACCATACATACCATACATACAATGAATACATTCATACATGTATAGAAAATATATACACACATGCTCATATACATACATATTGCAAGATAAATATCTTTGTATAAAACTCTTTTTATTTAAAAATCAAACGATATAAAGTATACAATTGTCTACAATAACTCATGTTAGTAGTTACAGTAAGGGTTTTCATCCTGATTCTCATCCTCCGTGAACACAGGGTTAGAACGAGACATTGAAAACTTGGGCAGATTGCAGACCTCTACATTAGCGTAAGAACTGGAGGTGTCAATATAACTCTGTAGGACCTCGTAGACAATTCTATATTCTGTCTGTTCAAAGAAATGTGATACTTTGTTAGAATAGGATATTACTATTTGGATTATAAATAAATATATGAGTAGACAAGATTATTATTATTATTATTAGGGCCTTCTTGCTGTTAAAGAGGCATTTAACACACATTATGGTGTGCCATATTATGCCAAATTTTATCAAGATTGGTCAAACGATTTTGATTTCTATTCCGGGACATGCATAGATACATACATACACACATACATAATACATTTATACAAACATACAAAGATATGTATTTCTTTACTTTGGTTTTCACTCACCATATTGTCAATGACTTTGGGTCGAATCGCTTTTACAGACCCAACCACCAAAGGTACTGAGACAAGTTTATCCTGATCAAGTCTATCTAGTATAGTGACGAGCGTACAGGCTAGACCACTAATCGTTGATCCGTTTCTGAAGATGAAAATGAATGCAATAAATAAGAAAGTGTGTTTGTAAGGTGTTCTTTATTACTTAAAGTCTTATTCTTTTTATATGAGGAACTTCACTAACACTCAATAACATTGAAAAGTCTGTTTTTAAGTTTGACATAAAAAATTGACTCTTAATACAAAAAGCTTGGCGTTGTATGTGTGTGTGTGTGTGTGTGTAAGTAAAATAAACATATTTGACATTTTCTTAACTTCAATAAAATATTTCATTAAAGTAATTACATTGAATGCAGCAATATATATATTTATATATATTATAGTTCACAAGAGATAATGGATAGATAGACACACTAAGATATATTTGAAAACAAATGAAATTAATGAAAAGGGCTAAGAGATAACTTTTACAGACAATGGTTTTGTCTGCGTTGTTTGTGGCATACTATGTACGTCTCGGCTGGGTCTTTTTTAAGCCCAATGAGATATACTTATCCTATTTTTGATAAGTAACGTCTGTAATGTATTGGATAAGATACGACAGGCTTCTTTAAATTTTCAAATGCAAGAGTTCACTGTACTAAACACATGTTCAGTGTGGGAGTTCTTACTTGCACACAAACATTGTCCGCCCCTGCACATCATACGATCTAATCTGATTTATCAATGTCAACAGTTTTCTGGGATCAAGGTCTTTGTGATCAGTTTTGATGTGAGTCACTTTGTGATGAACATATTTCTGGGATAAAAAAGAAAAACGGAACCCAAATCTAGGGTTGTCATTAATTCTGGCATTAAAAAAGAAAGTGGTCATAGTACAATAATGTCATATCATAAATTTATACATCTTAAGATTAAACATAAACTATATAAATTAAAAAAAAACCAAATTTACCCAGGTCACGTTGAGTTTTCTTTCTTCCCCAATTTTCAAAGTTCTGAAAGACAAACATTGAACTTTGACAGGTGAACACAGAAAGTACTGCTCCACTCCTTCGGGTAGATATTGAGCAACGGACTGTAAAAAAAACATGTGACCATGTCTAAGACATTACATTCTAAGTACCTAATTAGCTGTTTGGATGTGGATTCTAAATGACCATTCGATATCTTGACCATCAATTTAATAAAAATAACCTGAACAGCACCTATATGACAGGTTTAGGGGTAACGACAGGTTTTTATAGAAAAAAAATATTTCAAGAAATTTCAAGAAATTCAAGAGTTCCTAAAAGTTGTTTTTTTTAATTTAAATACTCTATTAGAAAGAAGAAACATCCGTTTTGTTAAATCAGTACAGTTGTCAGAGGTAATGTATTATTGTCCGTTATTTGTACTAGTATTTATATAGTTTAAATAGTAATTATCACTCTGATTTTCAATTGATTCAGAAATCGGATTGATATTCTAATTATTTAGACTGAGTTTCGAATAAAAAGGTAAAACTTTCAGGGCTTGCGATCTATGGGGGTAGGGGGGGGGAGGATTGGATGTAAAGCTCTTGTTTTTGCATGGCCTTCTGTTCGGGAGGGTGTCATTTGGGAGGGTGTCATTTGGGAGGGTGTCATTTGGCCAGCCTCCTTTACTTCCTCTAGGTTTGTTAGATACCATTAGAGTTAGGTGCACTCCTTCAGCGTGCTAAAGTTTACCTTACCTTTACTAATCCATTCGTCTGTTGACCGTTGAGGCACCAAGCAAGACTCGTCTACGGCCTTTCTCCATTCCTCCCTGTCTTTTGCCTTGTTTAGAATTTCTTTCAATGTTTTCCTCCCATCGCTTTCTTTGTCTGCCTCTTCTTCTTTTTCCTGGTACTGTTCCATGAAGGAAAGCCTTTGCGAGCCCCGAAGATCTTGTAGTATGGCCATTGATTTTGAGCTTGCGTTTTTTTCACTATAGTTAGCAGGTCCTCATGGGGTCCGATCGCTGCAGTAACCCTGTCTCTTATCTCTTGGCTTGTGATGCGGTCTTTTTCAAAGACCTAAAATTACCGACATTTCAATTCCCATTCTTAATTGGGATTCGGGCTCGATAAACCTCGGTTCGTGAGCCAATCGCTTAACACTTTGCCACCTAGCCCCATCAGATTTATTTATGTAAATCTAAAATTGTCGTATCTTTAAGTTTTTAAAATTTTAAAAACACACAAACACTTTTATACAGCCGTAAAATAATGCTTGACTTTTTGTGTTATTTTTCAATATTGATTTTTTTGAGGCTCATTTTTATAATATGTTGATTAGTAGGTGAACATTAATACTGACCATCGGGATGACATAGCCTTACACCGCATTAGTTGGAGAGAGACGGTGACCAAGAAAGCCATGGACAGTGAGAAAACATGGACCATAGCTCTGGAAGAAAAGCGTGACACACGAAAAATGGCCAGCTCCTCTACCACCAAACCAAAAGCCACCATTACTTGCAGCATATATGGACGGGAGTCTCTCCAAAATAGGGTTCCACAGCCATATGAAAAAGTATTCGAGATGAACCATAGTGGTTGGAGAGAGGGAGAGAGAGAGAGAGAGAGAGAGAGAGAGAGATCACTAGGTACTCAGAGGTACGGTGGCTGATTGGTTAAGCGTTTGGCCTCCGAAACGGAGGTCTGGGTTTCAATTCTGTGATGACTGGGTATTTTAATTTTTAATTTTAATTTTTAGGTACACGCACCATCATAAATTACTTTTTTTTTAAAGATTTAAACATAAGTACATATCCAATACATATGGTAGTTCAATCAAATATTCTAAAATGTATACAAAGTAATCATGCTACGTTGAAGAGAGGGAAGCTTGAACATTCCGAAACCTCTAGCAAACGATCCTTTTACTTTTTGTATATGTATTGATAGCATGTTAGCTTTCAAGAAATCGTGTATATACTTGAAGTATATTATTCAAGCAACAGCTGTATCCTTACAGGGCCGGCCTTATATAATTAGAAGCCCTAGGCGAAATAACTTTAGATGCCCCAACTGAAATAGAAAAATAAAAAAAAAAACGCAAAAAATATAAACAAAATAGACGTAATTTATTTCAAACTTAGTGACTCCAACAATAACACAATAAACAAAACTTTCATTATTTCTTCTCTAAAAAATTGTTTTGAGTCCCTTGCGAGGCCCCCACTAATGCCAGACCATTGGCGTCTTCATAGTTTGCCTATGCCTAAGGCCGGCCCTTCAGATACAAAAGTAGATCATTATGGTAAATTTACATCTAATGATATTGGAGGAGACAAGGAATCTAGTACAATATCCAAAGAGTCTGGTTGACCTACTTTATCATTCCAGGAAGTATCAAGTTCAAAAGTCACGATAAGTGATATTTTCTTCTCTACCACACATTTCCAGAAGTCTACAACAGTGTTTGGTAATGGAAGCTGTGTTAGGATGTTGGCATCTCTGGAGGTGTAGCTCTGAAACATTAACATGTAGTACTGTCTTTGGCATGTGGTAAACCTTTTTGTATTAATGCATACTTAGGAAATAAAGGTTTAAAATACGTTGCATAACATTTTAATAATTAAAGTTTTGTTGAATTTCATAAAAGATGTACTAAAACAAGATATATTAAACATTTCTAAAGTAATGATATAATCAACAGAGAACATGCAGTAAAATGAATGCCTTTCTAAACAAGTCTTCTCAGCTAAAGGGAATCTTTTGTCAGTCTTTGTGGCTGATAAAGAGTACCTGATTAATCATTGAAATTATAACTTAGCTGTAAATTTGGAAGGCCAGATTGTAAACGTGTATTTTAAGAATGATAATCAAGTTTAGCGAAAGAACTATTAAAATATTAACCTGAATGTACACAGCATGAATGTAGTCGTTGTTTATATCGCTAAGATGTACTCTGTAGCAGTCCTCTGAATTAAATAAAAATACAATCTTACTCTGAAATCCTGAAAACTGACCTGAACTTTAAATTATTGTTAACTATACAAATATCTAAAAAAATATATCAATAAATTTATAGCTGCTATGGAGTGTATGTGTGTGTTTCAATTTAGTCAAGGTGGGCAGATGGTTTGGTTGTGTAGGCGAAAGATTATGATGAAACTATCATATGGTTTGTTGTAGTTCATTTAATTTGTTAATTACTATGATTTGTCAAAAGTAGACAACAAACGAGATACTGTAGACAGCAGGACAGGTAATTTTTTTTTTATTGATTCAAATTTTGTTTAAAATTGTCGAAAACCATTTTTATCCTTTTTAACTCGTATTGAAATGCATTATACATTATACATTACACATTATACTTATACAATATACATTATGCATTATACAATACAATTATACTGAAGTAGAAACCTGTGTATTTTTCCAAATGAAATTTATATTCAGTTTCATTTGGTTTGGAAAAAAATGTGTTCAAGCTCATTTCATTAATATAATACACAGACTTCGGTCTAGTTATGCAAGCTGTTAGGAGCTACAAACCAACGACCGCCGATCAACAATAGTTGTAGCTCGGTGTTTACCTTATTTATTGCAAACTTAGTTAGGTTTATGTTTAATGTAATGATAGTGTTCCATCTGCAATAATAGATTTGTATTCAATCCAGTGATTGCTTATATGAATGATATAGACTGTGAATTCTATCCTAAATGTAAGTGAATGTTTTAGAATACATTGAATAACTTTAAAAGAGAGCACTAAACAAGAATTAAAAAAAAAATAATTTTAAAAAGCTTATACGAAAAGTAATTGTATCAATTAATTAGGATGAGTAATGTCATTAAATTTGTAGTAGATCTAGATCGACATCAGTAAATCTGTGTGATAAGAAATATTTTACCAATTATATTTGATTAGGGCTATTTCATGCTTTTAGCTTTCTCAATACGCTATGATCCTATCACTTGTCTGGACCAGTTTGAAAAAAAAAAGGGGGGGGGGGAAGGGTTATCTGGAAAAATTTTACTATAATCGCTTTTTAAAATCAATTATAAAAAGGGAAATAACCTGTATTCGAATTAATAGTTCAAGCTTTCTTTAACCAGTCTTTTAGGGAAGTGCATACGAAAATAGAAGTTTTATATTGTTTATTTAAAACTTACTTTAACGCGGTAACCTATATAAATGGGACTAATTCAACATATAACATTACTTAAGCCAAGTATAATTTCCTCCTTTTTTCGAAGCACCAAACAAAGTAATTAATTACCAATAGTTGATTAACTAGTAAGTTGATGTTTTTTATTCTTGTATTGGCAGGTAAAAAAAATAATTGTGTGCAAAACTTCAGCTTGAGCCGACATAGGATGTCGGAGAAATAACATGTACAAACATTTTACCAGACAGACAGAGTGAGTTGAAATAAGCTTTGTACAAATCTAACTTGGAGCTAGTTCAGGAAATCTATCTTTCCTTTGTTCCGTAGCACATTTCACGTTCTGGTAGAGTTGATCTGCTTCTGTCATGTTTTCATTCCCACTTTCAGACTCGTCTGGGCAGTGACACATTTCACAGAGTGACTGAAATATACAAAAGTTACTCGTCTCAATGCAAAATGCCTCTAAGCACTATGAATAAGGATCGGTTATTATAAAACATAATAATAGCTTAGTTAACGTGAAGAACTCCGCCTTTACAATTATATCCATCTGCAGATATGGCTTTTATATGGCGCTACTTTCATGCTTTTAGCATGCTCAGAGCGCTATGGTCCATCTCTTTTGTGGACCAGTGGTGGGAGGGGAGGATAACTGGAAGAAGGTTTATCATGCTGCTTTTAGTCGCTCAGTAAACATAATTCTGCTCGAGTCGGATGTCGAAACTCGATCCCCCTCTATAGGTAGCAAGCTAAGCCAAGTTCAAGTTTACTGAGCCTCTCGACCACGCTTCCCACCATCAATAGTGTACATATAGGAGTGTGTATTTGATATCAAAGAAAATAATTAAATGACTAC